ATGGCTAAGAGAGTGTGCTAGAAGTAAAATGTCACAATGGATGGCAAGCTTGCATCATGTCCGCAAATTTCTTCTGTAGTTTACCAAGTAACAGTGACACTATTGCCATGCAGAAATGATATATTTAGAAGTGGTAAATTAATCTTATTTTTAGTTTGTGCTGAAGTGTGTCTGTTCACAGGAACCACAGTGTATAGTGAATGGCAGGTCACAAAATGACCTGAAGGGAAGCAGAGTAAAGAGAACAGGGAGGGAAGAGTGACTATCACACACTCCTGCCACCCAGGTTAAGGACAAGCGAGTGTGAAGAGGGCTGGAGCAACTGGCTTTTAGGAAACAAAGAGATTTGTGGTGTAGGGCAGAGTGTAGAAGAGGCCCTGCAGGAGGAAACCACGGTCTAAACATCTTTCAGACCCTGACCTTCCAGAAGAGATGCAGAAAACTGAAGAAGGGCAGCACCTTGCTCAGAATCCTAGCACCTTTGCTACCAGGTCTATTTGACATCTAAATCATCTCAAAGAGATGAAAATATCTCTCATTGTTAGAGACATCCTCGATCCTTGTCTAGACTAAGGAAGAAATGACCTGGAGGGGCGGGGCCTGTGGCATGCCCTTAGAAAAGGTGATGGTTGACACCAAGGAAATTTCAGCCAGAAGGCAGGGGAAGGTGTCTCCTTAGAGGCGTTTATGCCTTCAGAGTTGACAGTAGCTGCTCCGGTTACCCAGAGACAGGTAAAGGAAGACCAGAAAACCCATAATGAGCAGCTTGCCCTAACTGACATGTGGGATGGAGGGGACAGACGGTCAAGCTCAACCTGCATCAAGATAAATCAGGCTCCTGGTCATACTGACCTGTCTTAAGCTGTTTCAACTTAGTAGGAATAATTTCCAAACTGGGAAGAGAGAGAGAGAGAGACAGAGAGAGAGACAGAGACAGAGAGAGACAGAGAGAGATAGAGACAGAGACAGAGAGAGACAGAGATAGATACATAGATCGATAGATAGATAGATAGATAGAGAGAGAGAGAGAGAGAGAGAGAGAGAGAGAGAGAGACAGACAGACAGACAGACAGACAGAGAAACATCAAGATTCTGCAGTTTTGATTTTTTTTCCCATGTTAATGCAAGGACCCCTCACATTCTATGGAGTTAATACCTAGAAGATGAGTTTCAGTGCTTTCTAAGGTCAGAGTCCTATCAGCCATTCACACAAACCCCGTAGACTGAGTAGCAGGGCCCACATAGCAGGTCAGAACAATAGCATGTGCTTTAGCACATGGACACATTTTCTGTGTACAAGACTGTAGTCTATCCTCATGAACCACTGGACAGAAGCCTGATCACCTTCCGGCTTAACAAACTTATCTGAGACTAGAACATGAACTAAAAGGGTGAGCAGGGTCCCATGATTTAGCAGGTGCCATATTTTGCTACTATATTTTCTGTTCATCTTTTTTAGGGGACAAGATTTGGTCATACAGTTTAGCTAGAAAGAAATTGTATGGGACACTCACAAACTGGGTCGCCTTTTCTCTGTTTCCAATGATGTGACAAGGCCTAAGCAGATGGCATGCTTAGTTGTCAGACAGCCTTTGAAGAGCCACAGTCATGGCAGCCTTGACTCTTTTACTTCTCTTCTTACTTACCTGGTGATGAAGCACTGCCCCAGGGTGACCCCATGCACTTGTCTCTTAAACACATGTCTGTGCTGCATTTGTGAAAACACACTCTGTGTCGCAGAGTGATGTTGGTATATATCATATGTCCCTCAAATGTTTGCTCTTCTTGAATTTGGTTGTGTATTGAGATTTCAACAAAATGGTTAGATTTCCATGGACGGCTTTGTGAGAACCCAGACCAGCATCTATTACTAGTAAGAGATTATGGGAAGCAAATAATTAAAGGCACATGGGGATCTTAGCCAACACAGTACAGTTTGCTAATGAAAGGCTTTGAACCACATGTTCGGAGTGTCCTGTGTGAATAAAATAACAGAGGGACCCTTTGACATGGCTGCATCTGGATAATACCATTACGGACTCAAGCATACCTAGGATGTACTTGAGGCTATTAAACACTAGATGTCATCTGTCTCTGGGCATCTAATAGGGAGACAGCTGGAGCTTCCATTGGACTTGTCCACCAAGTAGTGAGTGGACAATAACTTGCAATTTATTTGCTCTTTTTTGAACATATGAGCTAAATTGTCATCGAAGACTCAAAAACCCCAATTCCAGTATTGCAAGAATGAGAGACAGCAAATCACTGGTAGTGGTGATGCCCTTGTGGTGATGACAATCTGGCCAACATTATCCATACAGGTTTTTCTTATCTCAGGTATCTGATAGCTAGAGAAATTGAAAACCTCATAATTTTATTAAAATAATAGAACAAATTCCTTGAAATTAGAGAAACAACTTTATAAATAATAATTTGTGTTACATTATATAAACTTGAATAACAAAAAGGATATCTGATGTTAATTTCTAATATTCACTTGAAACAAGCAATACAGTGAATGAAGAGTAAAATGTTTGTTCTGAGTTACTCTTTTTTTTTCTCTTAAATCTTAGGTTCCAGCGATTTTAGAATGATGGAGTAAAGAAAGAAAATGTTTGCAACTCTTTAATTCTTAATTTGAATAGGCTCATGTAATGAAGGTTGGATTAATAGGAGAAGAACTAGACAACTTTATTAACATGTAAACTCCGTGCATGCATGGGAGAAGTCCAGGAGGGAAGTCATTCTCAAAAGAGTCCTTCAAATTTCAGCGTCCACAGCATTTCAACAAAGGACAGCAAATGTGTAGAGATGTCACAGGACAAAAGGAAAAGGACCTTGACTGTCTGGAGAAAACAGACTATGGAAAAGCAAATGAACAGCAGACGCGGATTATTTAGCAGATGCTTCTAGGTAAATTCTGCTGGCACTCTCTGAGGCTGGTGCGGGCAAGGTCACATTTTCTTCAGTGGTTGACCTTTGCTCTCTCTCATAAAGAGGTGTGGCAAGATTCCACTGGTCTTTCTAAATCGATTTTTTACTTTCAGGAAAACAGAGGGAGAGCAGAGAGTTCTCCGTCATCTGCCTTTATGAACTGCCCTCTGCTCTACAGTTCTTCGTATGTTTGGGGGGCATATTCTGGGGTCCTCCACAGGGCTAATACTCTGACATGGTTATGCCGCAGATGCCATGTTCTTGAATCAGGAGCCTTCTGCTTCCTACAGTGCCTCCTGGGAAAATACCTGCTGCTCATCAAATGGCCTTGGATATGACTCCTTGGAGTAGATTGTTAGCCTGTGTGGCTGCCTCTCTTGCAAGGAGTGCCTGCGGAAGAAAGAGGGGGAGGCAGGGGAGCAGTTGTAACTTTACTCCCTTTAGGAGAACTCCTACAACTTTCAGGCAACAGCTGTTGACTGATACCTCATTAACTGTGGATGTCTGATTCTGCTCATCAGCTCACAGATCCCATACCTGGCCTCAGGAAAGACTTCAGGAATTGGGACCAGAGCTTCTAGAGGGCTCGTAGACTTGCTTTGTTCTGGATTTTCATCACAGTCTTAATAACTTACATGGGTTGAATTGTGTCCTCTTCTATTCTTACGTGGAATTCTTGACCCCAGTGTGATGTTCCATAGAGATGGGACTTCGGGAAGTCATTAGGTTTAGAGGAGGTCATATGGTTCATGTTCTCACGTCTCTCTTTCTCCAAGCCCCTCCTTCTCACTCCCCTCTGTGACATTTTAGTTTCATGGCACAATGAGACGATTGCTGTCACTAGCCAGGAAGAGTCCTAACAAAGTACTGAATGAGCTGGTGCCTTGATTCTGGGCATCTCAGCCTCCCAAACTGCCAGAGATAAGTTTATATTCACAAAGCCACCAAGACCACAGCATTTTGTTTTAGCAGCATGAGCTGATATAGCAACTGTCATGCCCTGGTACTACTTTAAGAGGTAAGGCATCCATTTCAAAACTCAGGAAGGCAAACGTCAACTTCTCTGACTGCAGTTAGAACCACGCAGGTGCCAAGCAGCTTAATAGTTTAATTTTACACAGGGACCAGTGCTGTGGGATGTTCTGTATGGCAAATGTGTTGCTAATTAGTCAATAAATAAAGCACTGATTGGCCATTGGCTAGGCAGGAAGTGTAGGCGGGACAAGGAGGAGAATAAAGCTGGGAAGTGGAAGGCTGAGTCAGAGAGACACTGCCAGCCGCCAAGATGAGAAACAGCATGTGAAGATGCCGGTAAGCCACGAGCCATGTGGCAAGGTATGGATTTATAGAAATGGATTAATTTAAGCTGTAAGAACAGTCAGCAAGAAGCCTGCCACGGCCATACAGTTTGTAACCAATATAAGTCTCTGTGTTTTCTTGGTCGGGTCTGAGGGGCTGTGGGACTGGCAGGTGAGAGAGTTTGTCCTGACTGTGGGCCAGACAGGAAAACTCTAGCTACAGACCAGCTGCAAGTATCTGTCTTTGCATGTCTCAACTGGGAATGAGGTAGGGTTGTTGAAGAAGCTGCTGGTGCTGGGAGTGATGGTGGGGTGGTGGGAAGGTTACTTCAGGCTGCTGTTGACAGAAGTCACAACTTGAATCATTTAACATGTGTCATGGTTTGTACCTGCCCTGAGGATGGTGTTTTCAAACTAAGGTACAAAATAAATAATTTCATGAATATAGATAAAATATTGGGGCAGGACCTTTTAACATGGCTATGATGACAATTTCATTAGTGGGCATCATGTATAATTTCAGAGATGAAATTGACTTTACATTAGAATGCAGCAGTTTTACAGAGAATTAAAGGAATAGAAGAACTGCACCCACATCAAAGAATAGCTGAAAAATCCTCCACAGACAAGCCTCAATGCTAAATACAGAGCCACAGCTCTGCAAAGAAAAGGAAAACCATGAAGAAAACCTCATAGGAAGCAGAGAAGGGCAAACAAAGGCTTGCTCATGTTCTCCTTGCTATTATCAATCTTTTTTTCCTAGGGCTAATGGCTCTATCCTAGATATGCACATTCATCTACCCCCGACATCTGTGCAGAGCGTGGAACAGCGTATCTCGGTTTGTAATTGCTTGCTACCCTGAGATGACAAAATGAACTCCTGATATTTGGGAAAAATCAGACTTTGCTTCCTAGGCAAAGTGATGGTATGTATCCATGTTATTTAAAGTCTTAAGCTACTTTGCAGATGAAAAGAGGAGACAAACTCTCTGTGTGTTACTGTTAGGGTTTTTATGGAAGCAAATCTGTTGTTTCTTCAAAGAGTGTGTTTGTGCATAAACATGCTTCAAGAAAGGGTTCCAGATACAAGTATATAAACCTTCAGGATGTTGTTAATATTACTAGTACTGGCACATACAAGACCATTGGCAATCTCAAGGTTTTCATTGTCTGTAAGGCTGGTGCATGGTGTGTGTGTGTGTGTGTGTGTGTGTGTGTGTGTGTGTGTGTGTGTGTTCAATAAGTCTGTCAGTGGAGAAAATTAGACTGTGCTGGGATAATCAAATCCTCAATTGGTGAGGAGCTTTGAGGACCTTCAGATCATAAAACACTGTGACCTCAAATCCTTTCTACCATATCGAAGACAGTCCCTTCTTCGTCCTTGACAGATACACCCCTCCCCAGGTAATACATTACATTCCTTTTCTTTGCGGTGACCCTGGTGTGAGCTCAGGAGTCACACTGGAAATTGAATGTGAGTGGCCCCACATGAAACGTTCCTGTGGCTCTGTATTTGGAGCTTGCAGTCATCAGTGTGGCAATGTTACACTTGTCCATGTATTTCATGCACTTTGATGACACATACTCCTTCATGAAGACAGATTTTCCAGTTAACGTGAAAGATGGACCAGCTCGACGTCCAGTACCTTAACAGTCAGGGAAAAACCAGACTAACTTATTGGCCTTCCTCAGACTCTCCACAAGAAAATGTGTTCAATAAGAACTTAACAAATATTTATCAATAGCTACTCTATTTCAGCTACTCTATGCACACAGTGGTGAAAGACACAGAAGGTCGTGGCATGATGGGAGCTTTCATTCTGGTGCATAAAGACATACGAGTAGTGTCTGTGACCTTGGCTTCTTCCTCTTAGGATCTCATCCTCTAGCAGCTCTCCAAGTGGCTTCACTTCTCATATAATTGTTATCGCACCATGCCTTGGACTTATTACATGGTGTCTGACTTTCAGTGTGCCAAAGTAAGTGATGAGATTGCCGAATTGTTAAGGTGATGATGGCATTTGGAATGTAATTCGCCCCCTCCCATAAGCTCATAGAGAATGGCACTATAAGAAGGTGTGGCTTTGTTGGAGGAAGGGTGTCACTGTGATGGTGGACTTTGAGGTCTCATATATGCTCAAGTTATAATCAGTGTTTCAGACCACTTCCAGTTGCCTGTGGGTCAAGATATAGGACTCTCAGCTCCTTCTCCAGCACCATGTTTGTCTGCACACCACCATGTTCTGCCATGAAGATAATGGACTAATCCTCAGAAATTGCAAGTGAGTCACTTCAATTAAGTGTTTTCCTTTGCATGGTGTCTCTTCCCAGCACTAGAAATCCTAACTAGTACAGTGATGGATTGCCAATGTACCAAAGTAAAGATTGTCAGAGTAGTTAAGGGTGGTCAGAACAGTTAAGAGCGACCTAGGCAGTGGAATCATGTCCTCTTTTGTGTAATTGATTGGTCACATAGGTTGTAGTGCCTGTTTACATTTAAGATGGGGTTGAGATTCTAACTCCTAATAGGGAAGTAGAAAAGCCACTTTATAGAAGAGCAAATGTGACAGGAAATGTCTCTTGTCACTCTACTACATGCCCAAAGAAAAGGACATATTGCAGCAGAATTCATGAGGCAGAGAGAAAGATGGAGACTTGTTTTAAATAGGGTACCAGCCACAAGAAGAGGTAGAGGAAAATTACTCTAGTAAGAGGGTAGAATAAGTTCTATTGAACAATCATAGTAGTAAGTCAATTTGTATCAAGGACTCATTGCCTGTTCAGATAACACACACTAAATGAGGAGAGGCAAGATGAAAGACAGAACTCCAACTAGTCTTGTCTATTCATTTCTTGAGCATTCTTTTGGATACCCACTTCATTATATACACGATTCTCTTCTGTGTAGTTATTTGGAGGCTGATAAATAGCAATGTTGACAGCTTTGATGTGGTGTCTCCTAAAACTAAGTCAAGTGTAGATATGTTTCCAAAATGAGATGTTCCCTGAGCCTTAGATACAGTGGTTGTGTTGTAGATATATCCTAGGGTTGAACACCCCATAATTAGTTGTTTTCTACATTTTGACCAGTTGTGATTTCTATGACAGTTTCCATATGCTGCAAAAAGAAGCTTCTCTATGAAGGGTGAGATCTACATTTATCTATGGGAATAAGGATAAGTATGTAGTACTCAGAAATTATACTGGTTTAGGAAAGTGATAGTAGTAGGTTTTCCTCTAGGGTCCATGACCTCACTAGCCATGGGCAAGTGACTAATTTTTCTGTATCAGGCATGGATTTCTTCCTTTTGAGTGGGCTGGCCAATTAGATAGCTGTTGGTTACACCAAAGACAAACACATCACTATTGTACCACTGAGGATATTTTGTTCAACTGTTCACTGTTGTGATTCATAGGTTTTACAGGTAGATAGCACTATTGATTTCCTTTCTCCTTTGGGTGCTTTCTTAGCACCTTCAGATACTACAATAGTTAGTTCTCAAGGAGAAGGCTTTCAGCTCAGTTGTAGTTCAATTTCTCCAAATCCTAGGTCAGATGTGTGTGGTGTCAGCAAAAGGGTCTTACCTCCAAGTTCTGGGAGGCAAACAAGGACAATGGCAATAGCTTGTATTATTTGAGGGATCTCTTGTAGTCCTCTGACCAAAAACTCAAAGTGTAGTTTTCCATGTCTGATACTGGAATTTGTATTAGTTAATTATGGCTCTTGGGAGGAACAATACCATGCCCAAGTGACATAACTCCATTTAAACACACACACACACACACACACACACACACACACACACACACTCACATACACAGACTCACTTACACACACATAAACACACAGACATATGTGGAGGCCCACAAAGCTTTCCTAGTGAGATCTGAGCTTGCTTCACCCAGCAGGGCTGCATTAGAGGATTGCTTGACCATGCGTGTGGTTACAAGAAGGGTCTACACTTGGCTGAGCTAGGGGGAGACCTTTTGCTCCACCCTTGGCATTCCTATAAATAGCCCTTTAGAAGAGACAGAAGGGGCTGGTTGACAAAAAATCCAGGCCCTCCTGAGGCTATCTTGTGTTTCTATCTGTTTCTTTCCCCTCTATCATTCTATCTAAATCTCTTATCCTTCTCTTCTCAAGAGTTCTCTGTTGTAAAATGTGGGAGCTGGTCTCTCAGTTGGGCTCCCATAAATAGGGCCAGGAACAGGGACTGGGCAAAAGGAGAGAGGGGGCATCATAGGTGTAAGGGGGTGTGCCCAATAAGTAATTAAAAATAAAGGTGACAGTATTTTATTCTTGGGAGTGTAAGTAAGGCAGCTGGATGCCAAAGTTGAAAAGTGAGGCTGAAACAAATATCTCTCTCTATATAGTTTTCTTTCTTTTTTTCCTCTCTCTCTTAATTTCTATCTATAAAAATTAAGGAAAAATATAAAGTAGAATGTAGGAATATTGTGTAGAAAAAAACTTAGGGTAAGAAGAAAAAATATAAGGTAGAATACAGGAATACAGTATAAGAAAAACTTAGGACAAGAACAGCCACAAGACAGAGGAGCTGTGCTCTTGGGACTCTGAATGCAAACTTCCGGGGAAGAATCACAGTTGTGAAAAAATACTATGAATTCTGTGAATAGCTTAAATTTAAGTCCTGAGCAGCAGAGTAAAGAATTTTCTCTGAGGCAATGCAGGTGAAATAAAACTCTTCACTCCACTGACATTGTTACTGTATGATAGCATCGTACCATCAGAATTAGTTTCCTTGGCCATGAAATCAAGAATAGGGAACAGAAGTCTTGGGAAAAACTTAGTAATTTTTCTCTCAAAAATTGAAAGCTTTCTCAGGAAAAACTTAGTAATCTCTCTCTAAAAAACTGGAAGCTCTTCAGGTCTTTCCTGCTCAAGATTTCTTTCTGTAAGGGCCAAAATTTAACTCAACTGGAAATAACATCTATCAGTATGGGAAAATTACCTGTGATTGCTCTAGAAAAAGCAAAAAGCCTCTTGGAACAGTGCAAATCCTCTCTGGTAGTCCTATCTCCCCTTCAAGCTAGTATTGGGGCGGGGGGGGGGGGGGGAAGCTGAGAAGTTCTTTCTTTTCTTTTTCTATTCTATTGGGGAAAAGGTCTCTCTGAAAAAGCTCCTTCTTTTCTTTCTCTATTGGGGAAAAATCTTTCTAAAAAAGCTCCATTTTCAAGTACTTTCTTCACCTTTTCACTGACCCAGTAAGACAGGGGATCAAAGGGTTACCAAACCACCTGTCCAAGTGTGTGCAGATGGAAAGATGTGGTTCATCCACTCTGGGTACAATGTTAGGTGAAGGAAGTACATCTGCCAATACCAGCTCAGGGAGAACAGAAACCTCTCATGGTGAAAATCTTACTTGATCTTGATTTTCAGTATGAACACAAACCATGTAAATGGAAACAGAAGTGTGATAGACCAGAAAGGCAGCATGGGAAATGTAGTTCCTTTGTAACACCATGACAATATAGAAAAGGCAGCTTGGGAAATGTAGCCTGTTTGTAATAGCATGATGATATGGAGAAAGGCAGCTTGGGAAATGTAGTCTGTAATGTGGTTCATAACAGTGTGATGATATAGAGAAGGGCAGTTTGGGAAATGAAATCCATACAAGAGATACTGGTACTGCACTGCCCCAAAGCTGTTTTTTTTTTCAGCTCAAAATGTTATTTTTTCTACAAGCTTTGTTAGCTGGCTGTAGCATGAATCTTAAATGGCTTATTAATAAAATCAAACTTGGAGCCAGGTACTGGGGTGAACGCTGGAAGATCAGAGAAACACAACAAGCCACAGCCACTTCACCTCACCAATTCCTCAGCTGATCCTGTTTCCTCAGACTGTATGCTTCTGAGTCCTCATCCAAATCGTTCTCAGCTGAACTGTGCTGCTCAAAAACCTAAAAGCTTAACCAGCCTAGTTCCTGGTTTTCACACCTTACATACCTTTCTGCTTTCTGCCCTCACTTCCTGGAATTAAAGGCTCACTTTCTGGGATTAAAGGTATGTGTCACCATGCCTGGCTATTTCCAGTGTGGCCTTGAACTCACAGAGATCCATGCTTCCTGAAGGCTAGGATTAACCGTGTGAGTGCCACCATTTTCTAGCCTCTGTATCTAGTGGCTGCTCTGTTCTCTGACCCCAGATAAGTTTATTAGGGTGCACAATATTTTGGGGAACACAATACCACCACAGCTGGCCTCTCGAGAGCTAGAAACAGGTGAACAGCTTGCCTGTCAGGAAGCAATTAAAATGCTAATACCATTTGCCAACAAGTCATTTTGAAACTCTTTAGAAAACTAGGGAAAGAGGTCTGTACATTGGGAAATTACTTTGGATGTGAAAAAAGAAAAAACTTCTGAGCAAATAAAAAAAGAAACTTGAGTTGTGCTTGAAATGCAAGAGAGAATCATTGGAATTATTGGAATGCTCATGATAATCTTAAAAAGCAGCTTTAAAAATATGAAGAAGAGGGAATTTTACCCTCAGTCAAGCTTAGAGCTAATGATGAATTAGGTTCTGACTTCAAACTTTCAGGAAAACTTTCAGAATGATATCAAAGCTGGCTATAAACTCTGAACTTTAGAAATAATTTGCATACTTCCTGTCTTATTAATAGTTCTGTTAAGAAATCTTTTCTAGATGTTTGCTATAGAATTTGCTTTTTAATGTAAGTTAGTTCTGTTAAGAGATTCTTCTAGATAAGTTTGTAAAATAGGGCTATAGAGTTTCCTATTGAATATAAGTTTGTAAAAAGCATAAGTAAGTATATTCATGTTGTAAATATGTATAATGATGTTAAGATAGCTTTTCTAAATGTGTGCTAAAGTTTGAAAAATAGTTCTATTGAGTTTCCTTTTGAATTAAGCATGTAAAAAGTGTAAATATTGAAGTAAGAAATATAAATATTGAATGTAAAAACTGTAAATATTGAATGTAAAATGTGTAAATATTGAATGCAAGTTTGTAAAAAGTGTAAATTCAATATCTGTCTACTTCAGACAAGTTAGGTAACATTAATTTTTAAAAGATAAACCAAATCAAATCAGAAGCATCTTGAAGTTTTTATTGCTCTTTTACCTTCAGATATATTTGAATACTTTATATGATAGCTTAAACTATAATTTTATGGTCTCAGTAGCCCCTGGAAAACTTAAGTGAATGTGTCATAATTAGGGGAGTTTTTCGGTCTTCTTCCTAGATGTTTCCACTCATTCTATTTCTCTTTAGAAAGGGGTAGGCCTCTCACAAAGAGATAAGCCTCACACAATCGAGTTAGTTTGTAAAAGTGTCTTTATTATTAGCATGGGGTTTTGTTTACTTGAGAGGATACTTTAAAGTGTTGTGAAATGACTGTTTTTTTCCAGGGAATCAAAATAGTCTCTTGAAAATTTTATTGAAAATCTGTTAGGAGAGAGTTTTGATTTAGAAAAAGACTTGGTGCAGCTAAGACTGCTTCAGTCATCTTAGACCCATTCCAAAAGGTATATTCCATCTTTATTATCCTCTACTCCTTTACTGGGAGGTGTGGCAGCTATGGAGATCACTGTGGATGTTTGCAAGCTCATTAGGGACCTGGGCCAGAGCTGAGTTAAGCTCTGTACCCCCTCTTGCCAGAGGCTAGTAACCAAAGACAGGTAACTTTCTTCTTGATAGCTTCCTGAATGCATGTATATAAAATTAATCAAGAAGAATGACCTAATACAGGCACAGTCTATCTGAGGTGCCTGGGGAGCCCTTTATTATATCAAGAAGGGGGAGTTGTGGAGGCCCACAAAGGTTTTCTAGTGAGATCTGAGCTTGCTTCACCCAGCAGGGCTGCATTAGAGGATTGCTTGACCATGTGTGTGGTTACAAGGTGATTGGAAGGGTCTTATACTTGGCTGAGCTAGGGGGAGTTCTTTTGATCCACCCCTTGGCATTCCTATAAAATGCCCTTTAGAAGAGACATAAGGGGCCGGCTGGTGGATAAGGATCCCGGCCCTCACGAAGCTATCCTGTGTTTCTAGCTGTCTCTTTCCCTATCCTTCTATCTAAATCTCTTATCCTTCTCTCCTCAAGAGTACCCTGTTGTAAAATGTGAGAGCCAGTCTCCCAGCTGTGTTCCCACAGACAGACAGACAGACAGACACACACACACACACACACACACACACACACACACACACACACACACACCACAAATTTCTAAAAGTTTCTGTGGAGTTGTGTGTGAGGACCTCCTCAGCTGGGACATTCCTTTAATTCTCCAACACTATAGTCCTTTCTGTATTCTCGGCCCTTCTTCTATCTAAAGCCTCTGAGTAAACAATCTCGAAATACATTGATCAGCAGGCTTTTTTTGTTTTATTTTGTTTTCATTCTTTTGGTTCCCAAGAATTTCTAGACAGTTTTGGAAAACGTAGATACTCAAATATAACTTTGAGGAATTTGGATTTAATGAGTCTGGCATGAGGCCTGAAAACAACACAGATAATGCTGAGGCAGCTGCTCAAAGAATTTACCATTTGAGTTAATATATATATATATATATATATGTGTGTGTGTGTGTGTGTGTGTGTGTGTGTGTGTGTGTGTGTGTGTGTTGGCTGCTGCCTAAAGTATCAGAAAAGTTCAAAGCCACGTATTGTGCGATATCTAGAGTATACTCAATATAGTTAAGGACTGTAATTAAACTTTACTTGTGCATAATCCCAATTAACCTGAGATTTCATTAATGCCTTTCAAGTTTTCAGAATTTGTTAATGACATAATAGATAAGAGATCATGGTAGCTATAGAGTCACAATGATGAAAAAGACAAGCTGTTTGTTCTCACAAAGGCTACTACATGTCACTGCTGTCCTCCCAATGAAGTACAGTCTGGACAGGTGCACCAAGTAAAAGTGGCTGTTGATTTTACATTGGTTCTTCCCTCCATTCTGCTGACACTTTTGGAACAACGCTGCATGAATCAGTGAGCCAACAGTTGTGGAACTGCACAGAAAATTGCTAGGCTTTGCCTTTAAGGAACCTGTGAGCAGCTACGTTGCAAGGAGTTGGAGACGGGCCAATGGTCAAGCACTGAGATAGCATCACCTTAAGCAAAGTAAACAGGGATATGAGGACTACCATGTACTGGTGCTTTGGTGACTGTCACTAAAGGCTCCCAGAGTGCAGTGCAGCTGTGTTCTCTTTTGTGGCCCTGTGGTTGTGTGCACTGCCATGGTGGGTGGCCCCTTGGCATCCTTTGTCTAAAGCTTTCTTTGCCTCCTTGAAGGGTAAGCTGAGTCTTGCACAACATACTGGGATGAATTTCTATTCCCTTTGGACTCCATTCAAATTCAGCTCTCATTAGCTGATGACTGGCTCTGTCCTTGTTCTACCTCTTGTCACTGTCCTTGCCCACATGGTGCCGAGTTACACACCTATCAACCAGAGCCTGGCACTTAATGAGAGCTCTGTAAGTAGTTATTACCACCGCTATTGTCCTCACATCTGCTCCAACCATGTGCAAAGGTTCATAGGAATACAAAAGTATATTTTTCATAGAATCCTATGACTAGAGTAATTTCAAGTCAAGCAATTTAGTGTAATTAGTTTGACATTAGAATCTTCTAGATTCTTGACAAATATTCAACTAGAGACCCAACCAATCTTTCTATTCTTTCCACCAGATGCTCACCTTCTTGGTGTCCTCTCACTTGGTCTGGGCCTGGGTTTCAGTAGAACCTTCATCAAAGGCCTGGGAACTTCATTCATTGCCTCATGTGAAGTTAGCAGTGGCTGCCATGTTACACCCCGTGGTATAACTCCATTTCTTCCCTCAGCAAATTCCCTGGTCCTACAAATCCCCTTCCTTCAACAGGTATGTAGAACAGGCTTTCTGTGTGTTTCTTAAACTTGTGTCTTCTACCTTAAGAAGTGGGTGTTCATAGAAGTACCACAGAAGTAGAACTGGAGGTTCCCAGGCCCAGCAGGCTTGGCCGGGTGTCAGAGCATCTACGTGGGCATCTCAGTTCGTGCTTGCTTGTTCTTGGGCTTCTCTCTGAATATGCCTGAGCCTCAATCTCTTTTTTTCCTCTGTCTGTAAATTGGGGACGATTGTAATTATGCAGTTTCTGCAGGGATCATTAAAAATGGTGCACGCTGAGCTGCTGAGCTCCATGCTTGCTTTGCTCAAGGCTCTCGTGTCAGTCTCTTGTGAACTAAGCCTTCTCTGGTCTTGGCTGAGGTTGTATGATAAACAGAGACCAACAAGCAATACTGGCAGATGTTTCAGGTGTGGGCCAGTGGTTCTTAACCTGAAAACCGCCTCTGCCATCCCATTGTCTTAAGCATTATCCTGTGCACGGAGGTGAGAGTGTTGTATGTGGCTGATTAGGATGAATTCACCCCTTCTTTGTCTCACACATGCACCTGTTGAATGCCCACTGTGTGATACTACACCCATATTATCCTGCCTTTTTTGTTTGTTTGTTTTTTTGTTTTTGTTTTTTTTCGAGGCAGGGTTTCTCTGTGTAGCTTTGCACCTTTCCTGGAACTCACTCTGTAGCCCAGGCTGGCTTTGAACTCACAAAGATCCTCCTTCCTTTGCCTCCCGAGTGCTGGGATTAAAGGAGTGCGCCACCACTGCCCGGCTTATCCTGCCTTTTTTATTAATTTTTTTTCTGCCTTGTGTACAGTCTCTTTGGATGTAATAGGGCAAAAGAGTATCCTGGGTGACACACTGCAGCTTCTATGGTGAGATTTAAAAAATTTTATTGTTATTTTTATTTCTTGTTTTCTTTTGAGAGGAAGGTTGCATGGGCAGCGGGCAGATGTGCAAGGACTCAGAGACGAGTGCAGTTGGGGTGCATGATGTGAAATTCATGAAGAATCAATACAAAGTTAAAAAACAAAAGAAGGACTGCTTCTTTCCCTTATGCAGCTCCAGGTCCTTTATAGCACAAAGGGGTGTGGGGGGGCTTAGGAGTGGGAGAATGAGAGGCCCTACAGGGTTCATGTACTGTCTCTCCCTCTCTGTCCTGACATCACTGTAAATACAGTGTTGCTCTTCTCCATTCTTAGCCCCCAGGGGCTGGGGTGAGTATTTGTATTAATGTCAGACAGGGCCAGGATCAACGTCCACTCTTGCATGCCATGCTGCTAATGGCCTGCGTCTTTACCCATACGGCTCTCTCCATGTTTCTCTTCCTCCTTTGGAAGGAGACTTCCACCTTTATCAATCTAGTCTTGTACGTATTTTGACAGAGAATCTGTGTTTTCCTAAATGGACAGAGTCTGACCTATTGACATTAGAGGGGACACACTTAATATATGGGTGCTCTGCATCAGGCCGGTGGGTGGGAGAAAGCGATTATACGGTTTAGATACATTAGGAATGATGGTACCTGGGAAGGTTTTGTGTCTAAGTGGGAGGCCTCAGGAAATTTTGCTTTATGACAAAATCAAGAAATGAACCCTTCCATTTATCATACAGAATGATGGGACAGAAGATGTCTGCTGCAACATATAGTTTCTGTCTACACTCACACACAAAACACTTCTGTGACCAATATGTCTCTTCAGTTTTAAAGGACAAAATTACACTTTCATTTAAAGATCTTAATTGGTTTATTTTCAGTTCTGGGACTGGGAGACACTTTACTCCATAAAATAGAAAGAAAGAGAGCTGTGGCAAGATGAACGGAAGAGGTTGGTGGTCTAGAGAGAAAGACGCCAGGGCAGAAACAAAGATCGGAGCGGATATTGGTCGTTTTCACATGTGCTGGGGACCAGGAGACAGAACAAAGGAAAAGGGAGACTGGGCAGCATCAGGCTATCTTTATGTGAGGGCCGGGGGTGAGGAACTTCATCACTGTGGTGCAGAATCTGGCCTGGCTTCTCTCTCTAGTCCCAATTTCTCAGGTTAAGCAGTTTAGTTTCAGTTCAATGAGGTGGAATTTTGCATGAGCGCCTCGGTTTTAGCTTGCCCGGCCTGGCAGAAGCTCAAGCCACGTACTGACTTCATGTCGTTTTGTTTACCTCTTTCCTTCCATCCCTGGCTTCTTCCTTCCCTTCTTTTCCTTTCTTTTGTCTTCCCAAGTTATAAAGAGTTTCTTCTTGTCTAGGGAAAACAAAAGAAAGTGAAACAAAGCAAACGCTTTCCAAGCTTTATAAAATAAAGCCGTCTACCTGCTCGAATTGTACCTGTCCTTACACAAGAATTTCTTGTCTTCAGAGCCCAGAAGGGATTGGGGCGGGGGAGGGGAGGCTTTAGCAGCCTAGAGTGCCCAGGACACTTTGAAGGGGAGAGAAGGAAATGGGCCATGTGAAAGACAGGAGGTGAGGACAGTCTAGTGTCATGGACATCCAAGCCAGGTGGAATGGACAAACGAACGTGGAGAGGCAGAGACCTGGGACATCCTGACTTGGGCTTGCCCCATGTAGTGTAGTGATAGATGTCTCATGTCATGTGTTTTTATTTCTACGTTTACACCGCAGCTTCCAAAAGTATAGAGCGAAGAGAGTGAAGACTCTTCTGAAAAACAAAACAATCCCTATGCCCCAGAGGGGTGACCCTCTGGTAAACGGTCATTTACTATGTCCTCAATGGCACTGTAGTGCCCTGCTTACTTCCCAGGAGAGCTTGGCTCACTCTGGCTTCAAGTTTCCAGAAAACATGCAAATAGTTGTAGCTTTTAGGCGGTCCTTACCGCTCTCCCTATCACCCTGGCTACCATAAATACCCGTACAGGGATTCAAGCCCAGAGCATGAGCCTGTTTTATCTCCCTCACCGTTACTATTCACACACACAGGACTACCCTTCAGGTGAAACTGCACCAAAGAGAAAAGATGACACCGCACAGCTGCATATCCAAGTATTTGCACATAAAGTCGGCATACTCTAAAAACACATGGGCTGGGTTGTGAATAGAGCATGGCTGGTGTAAGAAATATTAATAGCATCCCAGACATCTTCTTGTTAATGTTTGAATGCATTCCTCTATCTCATTTTCTCTGGAAAAAGAGAGATGCAGGGTCTACTGGTCAAATGATTCTGCTGCTGCTGTCATCTCGGCGGCATGATTATGCTGATGGATTGTTCCCACTTTGCCTTCCCAGATTACTCCATTCTCCCTTCAGCTGCTTAGTTTTTAGCTTTCACATCAGCCCCAAAGAAAAACAGTTAACGGTGCTCACATTTCTGCAGCTAATCTCTGGCTTATTAGATCTTTTCCTATAATTGCATTTCAGGGGCTCCACCAGGCTACTGGGATAGTCGGTGTGTGTCATGCGTTATTGTAAGACTTGAGGATGGAAATCCAGGGCTTTACAAGGTAAGACAAATGTGGTATTGGAGAAAAATAGATTGTTGATAGTGAGGGTTAGTAAGAAACATTTGTTTTCCTTCCAGCCTTGGTTGTTAAATTAAATTATGACTTTGAGGCGCCGGGGCCCTAAATTCTCTCCTCCTGTCTTGAAAGCATATTCACTAGGATTTTATGCTAGGCCTTCTCCTTCACTCTGTCAGTGGCTGGCACCCCAATGAACGCTGCTGTCAGCTTAAGATAAATCATACTTCAAGCATATTTTTTTTTTCAGATTGGGCAGCCAAAATTAGTGCGAGGAATGTCAGTCTGTTGCCAGATCTGTCAATATGAAGTTTAGATCACAGTTAACTGGTGCCAGTTTAGTTAACTACCTGACAAAAAAGGCTCATAATATGCCGAGAAGAATGATCTCACTCTTAAAGTGATAGATGCTCAAAGCAGGCAGGGATGCTGAAGTTGACATTGGGCTTCTGAAGAGGAATTTGAAAATGCTGTGGAATAATGGCAGGATAGGAAGCTGGGTCTGGAATTGGGCGGTAGATGGAAAAAAATTATCTTTATTTTATAAAACCTATCTGCTAAAAAGCTAAAAAAGTACCCTCAATGTGAGGCCATGCAGACATCTGTCATGTGATGAAATGGGACCTTGGTTCAGCCTTCTACTAAAGATATTAAAAATAGTTCACTGTCCAGAAGGACAGGGTTCCAGTTTAGTTGTGCAGGAATAGATATTGGAGTGACATTTCTTGGTATGCTCATTGTGTTAACAATTAGGGACAAAAATAATGCCTTAGATAAAGTGTATTTCCAAGTCTTCTATGAGCCCAAGGCTGATGTTTCTGTTGGCTCTCTTCCATTCGACAATTCAGGGATTCATGGTCTTTTCAACAACCAGTTCGAGTGTGGTACCACCACTGTAGATCAGTGCCTTGCACATGTGAATCAGTGAGCAAGCTTACTAAAATGCACATTCTGTTTCCAGCCGTCCAGACAGAATCCTAGCCGTGCATTTTTAATGAGCTCCAGATGATGTCTGTGCTGTTGGTTTAAGATGGCGCCTGTCTACAATGGCTTCAACGTCAACCACACAGTGTAGGTAGAAGAGGAAAGAGCATGGAGGAGGCTGGGGGTTCCTGTGGGGCAGACTCTGAAGTGATATTATGTACACCCACATTTTAATTACAAGAGCTCAGAAGGTACCATGTTCAGTTTCTGGGGGGGTCTAGGAAGTGGGGAGCAGATGGATATTCATGAAGGTGAGGGAATGCACGTTAGACAGCCTCTAAGATCACTGCCACACTCTCATGCCTTGGTGCCGGCACTCCTTTATTTTTATGATTTCAGGATACTTTTTATAACATTCCTCCTCAATGTCCTTATTCATTATCTGTTTTCAATGCTTAAAAAAAATTGAAATGGAGAAAGGAAAGGAGAAACAAGCAAATGAACAAACAGACACACAAACAGTAAGAGGGCTGTAGAGCTGACATGGGAAGGATGGACTCAGGGCTCCAGGAGGTTGTGTTGTCAACACAGCACTGCGTCACAGTTTATATGACACCCAGATGTGCATCCACTCGTCATACCTTCATGTTCTAAAAGGTGAAAATGATACTTTATATTGGCATTTCACTATCTTCTCTGGGGATGGGCAATCCTCGCACGTATAGTCCTCCTCTTGAGAAGTCCAAAGCTGCTTAGCATGGTTTCACTAGTCCCGTGGGTTAAAAATGAAGTTAGGTTACCATTTCCATCTCCTAGAACACTTAGGTATGAAGAGTGGATGTGCCTCTGGGTGTCACATAGATTGTGACACAGTGCCATGTGGACATCGCTAACCTGAAGCCCTGAGTCCATCCTGATGTGAGGTCTACAGCCCTCTTTGCTATTTGTTTCTTTCTCTTTTCCTTTCTCCCCTTCCTTTTTGTATTACTGAGCTAGGGTCTCACTCTGTAGCCTAAGTTGGCTCGGAACTCGCATATCCCAGGCCTGCCTTGAACTCACAACAACTCTCCTGCCTCAACTTCTTGAGTATATTTATTATACATAAGAGCCATCATGCTTGGCTTTTCTTCATCCCACTGCTTGTGTGATTCACTTTGTCTCTTAGTGGGCTGGTTTTCTCACAGCCCTTTACTATATTGGTATTCACAAGGTGCATTTGTTCTTGGAGAACTCAGGATCTGCTTAAAACACATTTCACTTAGAATAGCTTAGCAAAAAAAAATAATAGCTGAACTTGAGCTCTGAAGACAGTTTTACTTGGTGAAACACAAATGCTGTTAGAGTTGGCCTTTTGAAGGCAAGTTCGGGTTCAGTTGTGAGGTATTTGTTTGAAGGCATGTAGCCTGTGGTCATCACAGGGTAATTCATAATTACCTTATGATGCGTAAATCTGTAGATGGGGAGTATGGGGCTACATTAGTTCTACCATTTTATGCTAGACTGCAGCAGAGGAAAGCCCTGAAGGTTTTATTGTGCTTTTATAGGTTTTTCAACCATATCATCCCAACTTCGATGTGGTCTGCAGTCTCAGTGAGGTTATAGCCACAGGCAAGTTTTTAACCCTAATACATGTGTTTGGCTTACAAAGCCTGCCTAGTAAAGTAGATTTTTTCCTGTTTTCTCACTTATACACCTGCATGAAATCGTTTAGTGAGCCCCTAGGAAATCTACAATAAAGACAGTTTATGTTTCATTAGTAAACTGGAAATTCCTTTGCTTTGTTCCCCAAAGACTTGCTCAGTTTTGCGACACTTGCTTATAAATACAGCCACAAACCTGGCACAGGAGTTTCCTTTGGCAGCTCAGGTGACAGACCTTCTCCCTCAACCTTTCCAGTCTAATTCTTCCCAATGATGCCTAAAGCTCCAGCAAACCCACAGTCATTACTTCTTTAAGGCTAGTCCCACTGGGTGGACCCAAGTTCAGTGTAGCTCATTGCTTACATGGCCTCTGGTGTTTGTTTTGGTCAATCTAAAGATCTCCTCCCCAGTTTTCACCAGCAGAAAGGTGAAAACACCCAGAACACACACTTCCTTATTGATTCCTACTTGTTAGAATTTGTTTTTTTACCCTACCAAGTGTATGTGTATCTTGTGTGACAGTTTCTATCATTCAGTAGAAATCACTTTGCGAACATTGTCTCAAGGAAATGCCTCAGTTCTCGCTCTTGCTCTCTGAGTTTACAGTCATCCCTGTAAGGACAGTCATCTCCTTAGGAGACTCTACAGTTGTCCTCATTTCTAGTGGAGCTCACTGCTGCCTAAGGGTCATTTTCTTTTCTTTGCCTGGTAAACAGGAGTCAGCAGTCTCCAGGAATCTACTGTCTGCATTTACTACTGCTAGTCTTCAAATTGGGTGTTATTCCAGGGGCAGTGACTGGCATAGGGTTGTGAGGAGAGTCTTGGGGGATCCTTGGCAAGCTCAGTACAGGAGAATCATCCAGAGTGGGTGTAGAAACCCTCAGTGTAATTCCCTTGGTGCATCCACACCAGTCAGAAAAAGGAAATTGAGAATTCTTTTCAGTCATCGAGTTGGTCACTACTGAATAGATACAGTATGTTTTCATAAAATCCATCCATTTCCAAAATGAATATTACTTCTGAGAAACAGTTTCTAGATCCATGATAAGGGGGAATATTTTTTATGAAATGAAACCAATCCACGCAACTCCCTGGATTATATGGTAGACCGTGTTGTAGACTGAGGCCTGGCTTCCCTCTGTGTTCAGCTTTTCCTTTTCTAGGTCCACGGTAGGCCTTTGAATCACCTGCTTGAGAAAAGAGTGAGATGTCGAGTCTGTTACACTGAAGACTGTGAGGAGATTCGAAAGGCCCTCTTTTCAAAGCTAGGAAGGATGTTGTTTCAAACTGGGGCAACCTCTCTTCCCTCTCTTTAAGGGAAGTTCCTTTAGTTTGAGGAGCTAAAAGGCAGGGTGCCCTCTTACAGTGGCTAATTTGGTCTAATCTGTTTAGGGAAACTTATTGTTTGGTTATTCAGTTATTGTCCCCCTCAGGGAAGACTTAATTTAAAATTAATACACTTATTATGTCTAGACATTTCAATTATGACTGGAGTACATTACTGCCATACAAATTTCGAACATGACATAATGTTATGTATATACACACACAAATATGACTATGATAATATGACAAGAGGATGTTCATCTTGCCCAATAGCAACTAGTTAAAGGAGTTTTCCAGTTTCATTATTGTTTTAGGATTATATTTCTGATGTAAGAAATAGGAAGAGAAACTTGAACTTCAAGAATATGTCAATAAAAATTCTGAGTAACCCAGACCCCCAAATACAAAAATGACATGTTTCCTCTTCTATGTGGATGATAGTTTTGAATCTCATGATATATGTGTTTCAATTTAAATAAATACAAAGGTTAGGTAGCTAGTAAGGAATGAGAGGCAGGTTAGTGACCGTCTTCCAAGAAAGGGGAAATAGAAATAGAAATATAGAGATAAAAAGGGAAGCTACCTAGGATTAAACATGGTTCAGGGGGAAGGGAAAAGTAAATGAGAGATTGTGGGGAGGAAAAACTAATACTAAAGGGAAACCTTAGGGAAATTTATTAGTGTAGACGTTTCCTAAAATGTATACATATACAAATAGAATTTAAATAGAGGTCATCAAGTAACGGGGGAGGTAATGTCCCCAACTGGATATTTAATGCCACCAAGTAAAACTTCCAGTGTCAGGAATGGGTTATAACTTGTTGAGCCATTGACCAAAGGGTTCTCATAGACCCCATAAACGTAACAAGATATTTCCAAGGCTATTGGTTGCACTCCACAACCTGATGGTAAGGCTCTGTTGCTGAAGGCCATGTCATGGGCTATGGAGGAATTGAGTTGGTATCCAACTAGCAGCTTTACCTCTACTGATCAGTATTCACGGTGCTGGGAGGTACTTTGCATGCTACCAGAGAAGAAAAGTAATCACCAATATCCCACAACAGTGACTTGCCTGCAAGATATACTTGTGTGATAGAGGTGTAAATGTTATGGGAATAACCAAGCACTTTTTAAAAAGTTGGATTTAAGGCCCTCTCCATGAGATGGAGCCCATACCCAACACTGCTAGAGTGTCTGAGAATCTAAAGCTATATAGATCATTGGTCCTAGAGAAAAACCTATTACTACCATTCGGCTCAAGGAGCACAGCAATAAAACAACTCCTAATGATGTAGTGCTCTACCCATAGATCAGTGCCTCACTCAACCTGCACAGAGAAGCTTCTTTCAGTAGATGGGGACTAACACAGAGAGCCACCACTGGACCATGTGCAGAGAGTGAGAGACTATGGAGCACTCAGTCCTAAACGAATGTCTTATAAAATCCCTCCCCTCAAGGCTCAGGGATCTCTGCAGTAGAGGAGGCAGAAAGATTGTAAGAGTCAGAGGTGATGTAAGACTCCAAGGAAACAGCACCATCCAGGCACAATAGGACTGATGTATGGGTGAACCTAGAGGCTGTGACAGCACTTACAAGACCTTCACAAGCTCAAACCAGACAAAACCTTAGCACAAAATAGGGGAACTGGAAATAAATCTCACTCCTAACCAAGAAGCTATTTGCAACTGATACTTGCTGGCAAATGGAAAATCAGTTTCCTTCAGGGGAGTGCCACCTAGGTACTAATCATACTCCAGGGCAGGTACCAGGAATAGTTTGTCAACATAAAATGGACTCCATATTTTCTTTTGTGTGCTTTTTTTGTCTTATTGTTTTTCCTTCCTTCCTTCCTTCCTCCCTTCCTCCCTCCCTTCCTCCCTCCCTCCCTTCTTTCTTTCTTTCTTCAGTTCTTTCTTTCTTTCTTCAGTTCTTTCTTTCTTTCTTTCTTTCTTTCTTTCTTTCTTTCTTTCTTTCTTCCTTCCTTCCTTCCTTCCTTCCTTCCTTCCTTCCTTCCTTTCTTCCTTTCTTTCTTGAGACAGAGGAAAAGCATAGAAAGAGGACACTCTGGGAGGAGTCATGGGAGGGGAAAGGAAAAAATGAAAATAAATATATGTACATTTAAAAAATTCTACTTTGAAATGATCTCAAAATGGCAAGCAGAATGTGGTTAGAAAA